AAAAAGGAATATCTCACTTAGAAAGAAATTTAAGGAAAGTGTAAAATGTTTATTTTGAAGCTTATAAAATGTTGTGGGGAAAAAAATTAAAGGCCAAATTAGATAGAAAAGCACCCAATGAGAGAAACAGCGATCAGACTATCAATCCCCAGAGGGAAAGTAGAGGAGGGTGGGGGTAAGGGGAAGAGATCAACCAAAGGACTTGTATGCATGCATATAAGCCAAACCAATGGACATGGACAACAGGGGGATGAGAGCATGAGTGGGGGTGGGGGGAGGATAGCGGTTTAATGGGGGGGATGAGGACACATTTGTAATACCTTAACTTATAAAGAATTAAAAAAAAATTGACCCTGGCCAGGTAGCTCAGTTAGTTAGAGTGTTGTCCCGATATGCCAAGGTTATGGATTTGATGCCTGGTCAGGGCACATAGAAGAATCAACCAATAAATGCACCAATAAGTGGAACAACAAAATCATGTTTTCTCCCCCCACCTTTCCTCTCTCTCAAATCAATAAATAATTTTTTTAAAAAATCTGTCAACCACTTTCTTAGTGTTCCAATAGCGCCTTTTATAAGATGCTTGTATTAACTGTTTCCTTTGCATTAAGACTTTTGTAGGAATCAAACTAGATGATTTGTATAAATGTGCCTTCTTGGGAATTTGAAAGACAACACGGAAGCAGGAAGAAATCTGCGATCTTCTGAGAGATCTCTGTTATTTTTCTTCAGTCAGTTCCTTCATGATAATGGCAAGGATTTTTCAACTCAGTAAATATGTACTTAGCCTCTGAGTGGCAAAAAATTGGTTAAGAACTCAGTTGAAGAGACCTTAATTTGGATATTGGCTCTACCATTTGTTTAATATATAACTTGGAGAAGTCTTGTGGCCTCTCTGAGCCTCTTTCCTTATCTGTAAAATGGTTTAATAATATTTCACCCCATTTAGTTCTCAGTCACTCAGTGAGATAAGTAATTAGCAAAAAGTACTTTTTAAATGCAAAACTAAAATTTATTGCATATTGGTGTGATTATGATTACATGTATTATCTCTCCCTTATTGACTTGTTTGCTCAGCCCCTTCAAAAACACCATACCTATTAAGAATGGATTCCTCTTATGGATACTAATTACATATATTGCCTATCTCCAGGTAGGATTTTGTGATCCTGTCCTCCATTACACACTGCATCATCTTATTTGACATAAAAAGCTAGACTACTTTATCTCACTGCTACCATGCCAGGCGCTCTGCCCTAATGCCAATTTGTCACATAGTAGAAAGCACCCCAGACATATTTCAAAACAAATCAAGGTATACAATTTGAATTACAGATGGCCTGGAGGAGATTTCAGAAAAAAATATAGCCACATAAAAATGAACAATTGCTATGTTGTCATGATTAAGAAAGCTGGTTAAGCAGTCAGATGCCCTTGTGTTTGAATCCTATTCTGTCCTTTATAGCTGTAAGGCCTGGAAGAAGTCATACTCATACTAGTATCTTTGAGAATACTAAAAACCTTTTGAGGTGTCATCATTATCCCAGAGATGGCGTTACCATCCCTTACACAACTGTCAAGGCTCTCTAGGTTCTGGTTCATATACAATTCTTCCTCTCTCTCTATACTTAAGCCTTATTGGATTTGGTCCAGATCCTTGAATGTTCCATGCTTTTTTCCCACTGAAAGGACTTTGCATGGGCCAGGAATGAACCTTCTACTCCCACTCAACTCCTGTGCATTTCATCTAGTTAACAGTTATTCATCTTTAAGGCCTCAGTTTGAATGCCATTTCTCCAAGAAAATTCTTCCTAACCCTATCCTCATGTTCACACAACTGGTTTGAATCCCCCTTACTGACCCCCATTGCACCCTGTACCGCTGTGTAATAGCATTTCACACCAATACTTCCATTTTTAAAAGTGGAGATTAGATACTATTTGTTAAGTGTCTATCTTGCCCATGAGATCAAGTACTGGATCTAGTGACCATTTTATCTCTAGCACCTAAAATTTTGCCTGCTACATAATAGAGAATCAATAAATACATATTGTAAAAATGAATAAATGAGTATGTGATGGGCTCTTCCTTACAGGACACCAACCTTATTATATCACAGGGTTAAAAGTTCCAGAATGTTAACATCTGCACAGTGGTCAGTTCACTGATGACAAAATGACTTGAAGAGCAGGAAGAACTCCTTCAGAGTAGCAGTTCCAACCTCCCTGCTGGCTTAATTTCAGCAAAAACCTACTTCTCTTTGCTGTTGCTAGTAAGAATGCTATTAGAAGCCAAATAATGCAGTCCATATATAGGCTATTTAAATATTTTTTGGTATTTCACATAATTTATTAACATCAACAAAGGCATAGCAGAGCTGGCTGATGTTTCCTTACAGTACAGCAAAATAAGATGTCTATTTCCCCCAGTAGGTGTGTGAATCCTGTAAATCCAATCAATGCTAATGACAGCATGTGCCTGCAAAGAGAGCAAAGTGAATGAGGGAGGCTGTTACTATTATAATCTTCTCACAACCTCCCATTGCCTCAGTGATGAGGAGACAGCTTCTTTTTCTTTCTCTTGAAATGAGATCAATATTCTCACTCATATTGTCTGTGTCTTTTCCCCAAAATAGATAGAATCTCCATTTTGAGCAGAGTACACTAAATTATGTTCTCTGGCATTCAACTATGTTTCTTAAACTTAATGTATGTACACATTTCCTTGGGATCTCATTAAAATGCAAATTCTCAGGATATCTGGGGTGGGGTCTGAAATCCTACATTTCATGCTGCTGGTCCATGGAACACACTTTGAGAAATGAGTCCCTATGGGTTCTCTGGTCTCATAAGTGGTAACTGATGTGATCAATGATCATTTTGAGGCTCTGGAAATTCCTTCTGAACCATTGCAAAAGAGAAGATATCAATTTGAAACTCTGGAAGCCATAGTCAAGAATTCTAAAAAAAAAAAAAAGGAATTCTCCAATAGAGCATTCTCTGGGAAGCTAAGAGGTGTTTCAAGCTTGGCATATAATGGTTATAAGCAGAGGCTCTAGTTAAAAAAAGACATGGATTTCCTGGCCCAGCCAGTTACTACGTGAAGGACCTTGGCCAGGGCATTTAACTGTCCTGATCATCAATTTTCTCATCTGTGAAAGGGGCCAACAATTGCAGAGGCAAGTTTGGAGGATTAGACACCAGAATGCAGAGCCTGGCAGTGATTGTAACAGCACAGCTAAAGGTCATCTTGGCCCCATAAAACCTGCTGCATTTAAAACCAACACTAGCTGGCCAACTAAGCTTCCCCATGGGTAGTTTCCTCTGTGGAAATACCTGCTCAGAGTGGGGAAACTGCAAAGCTAAAGAGTTTCTGGACTTGGCTCTTAGCCTTTTGAGATCACTACTGCTATCAACCCCAGTAGACACAGCATCATGGAAGCCTGGGATAATCTCAGACTTCCCTCTCTATTGCCATGGTTATTCTTTCAGGCCTGCTATTTAGGCACCTATCATTTTATCTCCAGATGCAATCAAAGACTTGGAAAAAAACTGGAAAATTCTTCTCTCTATGGAATTTGGAGAAGTTTTGCAGTGTTAGGCATGCATTATCTATTGTATTAGCTCCAGAGTCAGATGGTCCAAATTTCATGTGTGACATTTTGTAGATAGGCCACTGTTGTAATTCTTTTAGTTTCTATGCTTTTCAAAGTTATAATAGATGTTAGCCTTAGGGGTTAGTGACCCGAGTGGCTCTTCTTGGGGTGCAGGTTATGTTCTGTTTCTTTATCTGGGTGCTCATTATTTAGGCATGCTCCATTTGTAAACAATAATCATTAATTATATGAGTACTCCTCTGTATATGTTATACTTTACTACAAATTTTAAAATAGCCCAATCACATTACTCATCAATAAAGGCTATGCCATGTTGTGAATAAATGCTTTAATATTTAAAAAGCAAGAGTGAGTAGTATAGTAATATATATAATTCCACAAGGGACAATCTCTGTGCAACAGCCCAGAAGGTGATGTCCCATTAATTTTCATGATCAGCCTACTTCCTTTTATTTGGATCTATGTATGAAAAGATGCATGAAGCAGATTCATGGAAACCTAGAACTCCTGTGGGGAGAGTAGTAATGACTGAGCAGTTTGGGGTCCAGTACAACATAGTCCTGACTTGTTTGGTTTGGTTCTGTCCCAGGTGGTATCTAATTGTGTTATGCTGCAGAAGCCAACATCCAGCACCAGCTGTCAGTTATGAATCAGCATTGAACATGATTCAGCCACACTTTCTAATCCAATAACACTGTCAAAAAGTTTTATCTATAATATACAGAGCAATAATACATACTTGATCCATGACTACTTCAAAAGTAGTCACAAATGGATCCTATTTCATGAAAGTTACTGAGGTTAGTATTGTTTTCTTGAAGATACATTTGTGTAAACATACGGAGGAGTTATATTCAACTTCTATTTGGTTATACACTACAAATGATTTATAGTAGAACTAACAGTATCATGGTGGGGCAGTTAAGCATGTGGACTTTTGTGTCAGATCCAGATTCAAGTCCTTGCTCTGCCACTTCCTAGCTATGAGACCTTGCACTAGTTACTTAACCTCTCAGTTTGTTATCAATGGATCTGGTTGTTATGAGGATTAAAAGAGATAATGTTTATACAGTATACTTAGCCCAGTAATTATTATTATAGTATTATCATGCCTGTGACTGTCATGAAAAATCAATGAGATAAAATGTGCAAAATGCTTTTTGTAAAGTTATTGCTTGATTAATGTGGAGGGCTGCTGGCTAGCACATTCGGGCGTTTTTTAGATATTGGGGGCAGTCCTAGTCAGAGGCTAGGACACCACTCAGTCAGACTTTCCCGCCCAGGTGCTAAGGCGGGGTGGGTCCTATTATGTTGCCAGGAACTCAAGGCCCACCCAGATGTGATGTAACTTCGAGTATAAATAAACTTCCCACCGGTGTGGGAGGGGCTCTGTTCATCTATCAGAGGGCAGACACCACACCCAGGCCCAGCTTTCCCTCTATTTCTGTCTCAGTCTTGTTTTATTCATTTTTCATTAAACCCTCGTCCTGTTCTACACAAGAATTCATCAACCCCCGTGTTCTCTCTCTCTCTGCGCTGGTCGCGGGAAGAGAGAACGCCCCCCCCCACCCTAGATTAATGCTGTTATTATACTGTCCCTGAAAAGACCTTCCTTGCAAAGCCCCCTGGGACTGGGGTAAACTCACCTTGTGTCTGGCCTCCCATGCTGCCCACCTACAATCAATCATTCAGTTCCAGGAAGAATCAACAGAGAAAGTTGTACATCCTTTTACCTAAGTGTAACGCCTTATTCTGGATTTCTCTCGCTTTATATTCATTCATGTATATATTTATTTGCATGCCTCCTTAAGTCATGATTTCCCCCAAAATATAAAAAAAAACAATAGTGTTTGAAAATGTATTATTCAGTGAAATAAAAATAAAATGTGGTCAAATTAGATGGAAATTCTGTATACTATATCCCTCTTGAGATCTGGACTCTGACAAAAAGTGCCATTAGTTCAATCACTAATCCATTCATTCATTCATTTAATAACATATGTATTGAGTGTCTGCTATTTGGCTGTCACTATTCTTGGCATGGCGGGGGGGGGGGGGGGGAATGAGCAGGAAACATAATTATCCCACAATACACTGCTTAATCCAGCGTTTCCCAAATGGACTCTCTCTGTAAAGAATCTTCATTAATTTGGTACCCCTTTGTCCTCCACACTCACTACAGCTAAAATGAGTATCCAGAGGTTTCCAAAGCATGACATTCAATTTCACACCTCTGTGAATCTGCTCATGCCACTTCACCTTCTGCCTGGAGTGCCTTTTCTCCCCTCAACCCCTTGCTGCCTAACTAACCCCATCCTTCCATCTGGATTCTGCTCAAGCTCCAACTTATCTTAGAATGTCTTTTAGTTCATGTCACCGGCCTGAAATTGCTTCCCTCCTCTTTGCTCCCATCATGTCCACTTCACACCCTATATCAAGCCACATTTTGTAATGATTGCTTTACTTGTCTGTCTTCCACCGGTCTCTGCATTCCTAGAAGGAAGGGACCATGCCCCATACATCTCTGCAATAATATGGTCCTTGGCTCTCAGTAGTGACTTTTCAAATACAAGCATACCTAATTTTATTGTGCTTTGATTTACTGTGCTTCACAAATGTCACATTTTTTTTTACAATGAAGGCAGACCCTCCACCAGCAAATAGATAACAATTTGCTTTATTGCAATACTCACTTTAGTGCAGTGGTCTGGAACTGAACCCGAAATATCTCTGAGGTATGCCTGTTAAGTGCGAAAAGCCTATGTGAGTCAGGCCAACAGTCTTCGTGCTTTTATGCAAATTATTTTAAAATGGCACCTGCTCTTAGCAGGCTCAGCCTGGGAGTGCATCATTTGGCAAGTACAAGGCATGTATGAGTATGGAGGGAGGGGCTCTTTTCTCTAGATGCAAGGCTTGGGAGTCAGAGAATGGATTAACCTTCAGTCTCAATGACCCCTTTGGGAACTTTTTGTCAGCAATCACAGAATTAAAGAATGAGATTCCAGGCTGGGGTTGGAGATTTTGGAGAAAATATTACAGAGATTGACCTCCACAGCCCTTTCAGAGCTAAAACACTATAAGTCTAAAATAAGTAAACTAAAGAGACATTTCTATACAAGCCTACATTTTTAGCATGTTTCCTTTCTCTTGTTTAAATTACTATATACACTGAGTGGCCAGATTATTATGACCATCTGACGTTTGTAGGCAAATTAGCTATAATTTCGTGCTGAAGTTGCTAGAGGGCCAGACCATTACAAATTTGTTTATGACAGTATAGAAGTGATTTTTCTGAAGATATGGGTAAACAACGCGATTTAACAGCCTTTGAATGTGGGATGGATATATATACTGAGTGGCCAGATTATTATGACCACCCCATCAGTACTTCATTGGGCCACCTTTTGCCTTCTTCTTGTGGCGATTTTTCTTGGCATTGACTCCACGAGATGTTGAAAGGTGATGCGAGGAATCTGACACCATGCCTGATGAATAGAACTGTCCAGTTCTGTGAGATTTGATGGTTGTGGAACCAGCTGCCTGATGGCTCTTTTAACTTCGTCCCACAAATGCTCAATTGGATTGAGATCTGGTGATTGTGGGGGCCACCTAAGCAAGGTAAAGTCTCCCTCATGTTCTTGAAACCACTCCTGCACAATACAAGCACCGTGGCATGGCACATTTGTCTTGTTGGAAGAAGCCATCTCCATTGGGATATGCCATCAACATGATAGGATGAACTTGATCAGCAACGATACTTAGGTATGTTGTGCTATTCAGACGTTGTTCCACACAAATTAAAGGGCCCAAATCATGCCAGGAAAACATGCCCCAAATCATAACACTGCCCCCACCAGCTTGAAGGGTTGTACTCATGCATGTGGGGTGCATGCTTTCATGCTGTTTCTGCCAAATTCTCACTCTGCCATCTGCATGATGCAACTGGAAACGTGATTCATTGGACCACATGACTTTTTTCCAATGCTCGACTGTCCAATCCTTGTGTTCCTGTGTGAATTGGAGACGTTTTATCTTGGTAACTGCAGACAGCAAAGGTGTTCGAACAGGCCTTCCGCTTCCATATCCCATACGATGCACTGTACAGCTAACTTGCCTACAAATGTCAGGTGGGCATAATAATCTGGCCACTCAGTGTATATGTTGATTGTACTCAGTTGATGGCACATTAACCAAATCAGACATCTGTTGCTCATTTGTCTCTAAAGAAGTGAAGCTCATTCTGTAGGATTCCCATTATAATAAAACAAGCTAAGATTGGCCTTATTATTGTGTTTCACTTATATAATTTGGAAATTATAAATAGCTCTTAGGATTGCCAGATAAAATACAGGATGTTCAGTTAAATTTGAATTTCAGGTAACAATGATTTTTTTAGTGTAACTATGTCCCATGCAGTATTTGGGACATAATTACACTAAAAAATTTGTTGTTTCTCTGAAGTTTAAAATTCACTAAGTATCCTCTGTTTTGGTTTGCTAAATTTGGCAACCCTACTTGCGATACCTTTGTATTAACAGCTAAAACAGGATAGTCAGATTTCCCTGGTATTGCACCTCCAGGAAAAGGTACCGGGCTCTGGGGGCAGTAACTAGTGGAAAGTAGAGAGCACCTTCATTTTTTTAAAAAACTATATTTTATTGATTTTTTTTACAGAGAGGAAGGGAGAGGGATAGAGAATTAGAAACATCGATGAGAGAGAAACATCGATCAGCTGCCTCCTGCACACTCCCTACTGGGGATGTGCCCGCAACCAAGGTACATGCCCTTGACCAGACTCGAACCTGGGACCCTTGAGTCCGCAGGCTGACGCTCTATCCACTGAGCCAAACTGGATAGGGCGAGCACCTTCATTTTTGCTGTTGATTTGTTAGGTTTTGCTCTCTCTGCTTTTAGAGAAAATACAATTTTTTATTTCTTTAAAATGATGTTTTTAGGCCTTGCCAGTGTTTCTCAGTGGTTAGCGTGTCAGCCTGTGCCCCAAAGGGTCAAGGGTTTGTCAAGGGCATGTACCTGGACTTCAGGTTCCATCCCTTCCCCCACCCCTGCATGCAGGAGGCGACCAATCTATGTGTCTCTCTCTTTCTCTCTCTCCTCCCCTCTTCTTCCACTCTCTCTAAAAATCAATGAAAACGATATCCTTGGGTGAGGATTAACAAAAAAAAATTAGAAGGAAGTTTTTAGAATATCACAATGAGGAGAATAAAAATGTCTATGTCTCAGAGCTCTAGCAAGAATTAAATGTGATAACATATTTATGCATCTAAACAGAGTAAAAATTCCAGAAATTGAAGCTGCTGATATTTTCATTATTCTATTGTTGGTATTCTTTCTAAATGTGGAGCATATAACAAGAGGGACTACAACACAGGAGTAACTGTTTGAGGAAGGGGAAGAAAAGGGATTTCTATACCTCACATTTCACCCTCAAGGACTGTATTTGTATCTCAAATTATGGCGCCCATAACAATAGTAAATGCTTACCCAGACAAGATTTTTGATGCTGTTTACTTTTAATTATTTTTATTACGTGTGTCAATTCTTTAACTTCATGCTGTTTTCAACCATGTTTAACATTGTAGTTGGGAAAACTTTGTTAGTATTGTTAGTGAGTTGCAAAGATGGAAAGATGGGCAACATGTTCTGATAGCCAGATCATAAATTAGAAACTCCAGTTCTACCACAAATTGATACACTATGGTTCTGACCAACCCACATTTCCTTTGACCTCTGTGACCTATTTAATAGATCATTAGTTTGAAAGCCTTTTAAAAATCCATTCAGTACTCCAGTTACAAATAGATCTTGTGTTGAGCTGGTGTTGCCTCTCACATTATTAGTTCCTAATAGTAATCTGGACAAAGTATCATTCATTGAGTCTTGCTGTTAGAGCTAGTTATGAATGTATATATAGTGGGCCCAAATCATAGCAGCATAGAAGAAATAGTCTTTGCCACTTACTGGACTACCTGCCTTGTCATTTTAAGTTCAAGTTGATGGATGGTCTATACTTAGTAAAAAAAAAAAAAAAGACCTCACTGAAAATTGATAGAGGTAATTGGTGATTGGTTCAGACTCGGTACAAGCAAATGATAGTTACATTAAATGAAAAGAGTTCAGGATTCCAGAAGCCAAGTTAATTCAAATAGAACCATGAAATTAGTTAGTCCACCCATATGGTCTGTGCTCCCCATAGAATGCAGTGTGCCTGGGAATCAGTCATGATGCACAGTGTTGCTCCTTCCAGTGGAGTCACATGAGGGCCTTCCAGAGAAATCCTGATCTCATTGGGCCCCTAGAGCAGGGGTCCTCAAACTTTTTCAACAGGGGGCCAGTTTACTGTCCCTCAGACCATTGGAGGGCCGGACTATAGTTAAAAAAAAAACTATGAACAAATTCCTATGCACACTGCACACATCTTATTTTGAAGTAAAAAAACAAAACGGG